AGATGTTGAGGAGCAAGCCACAATACTTATGGTCTGTCCCATAATCTTATTTTTTCCCCACTTAGTGATCTGCATACCAACTTAGCCTAGTATACATTTGCTTTTTACTTATTTTTTGCACCCTCTCTCAAGCAGCCGAAAGAGAGGAAAGGGCCCTGCCTGTCTGACTGTCATCCATCACATACCATTTTGCTGATTCTGTTAAACTTGGAGAATCTGCAACATGGTTGATGTCTGTTGTATTTGACCTCCCATTTGAGTGTGTGTGCATGATTATTATGTCGAAATCCTTTCCACTCAGTGTATAGGGAGACAGCAGTTATCACTCAGAACAATCACTGTCCTCTTCCTTGACCTCCTCTGAGAGACGTTTCACGCATAACCTCTTCCAAATGTTTTTCAATGCACACCTGGAACTACAGTGCGATTATGACAAAATTGAATTTGCAGGAATGCGTATTATGCAGGTGCACACCTGTACACCAATAATTGGCTGTGGCTTCATGTTTGTTTGCCATTTATAAAGCATTTCCATGTTGCCTCTCCATATGCTTGAGGTGGCTTTCCCCCAAATATCCCAAGAAGCCATAATTGAAAAAGAACAGTAATGGATGGGGGGGGGGCATCAGCAACAAAGCCACAATAACATCAGAAAGCAGTCACACACACCCAGACCTCAATGATATCACTGCCAGATAATGTTGGGTATATAATACCACATTATACAGTCATGGCTTTTCCCAAAGAATTTCGGGAGTTATAGTTCATTGAAGATGCTGATAGTTGTTAGGAGACCCATATTCCCCTCACTGAACTACAGTTCCCAAAGCTCCCTGTGAAGAGGAATTGATTGTTAAAGCACTCCAGGAGGGAAATAGGGGTGTCCTAAAAATCTCAGCACCCTTAACACACCACAACTTGGAAGAATTCTTTGAGGGAAACTATGACTGTTTAAAGTGATATCATAGAACTTTAACTGTATGATATAAATGTGCCCTGTGTTCTAAGGTCTTTGCTCCAGCAAGGCAACATTTGTCCCTACTGACTGAATAAGTTACAGCTTTTGTTGATTAAGCTACCAACATTTAAAGGTCCCATCACAAAATCTCTCCTGCCTCTCCTGCCCAGCACATGCTTAAAGAGGCAGGTGCACATGGCTGCTACATCTGAATCATTTTTCTGGTTCTCAGCGGCAGCTGCAGGTGCGTTTGGGTGAATTTTCTGTTTCTTTTGTGCTTGGGGGACTCCGATTTACTTTAAGCCAGAAATGAAAATTAATACCTACAAATTCACCACAAGCAGAGAAAATAGCTTCATTATACAAAGTGCTCCACTTCATGCAAATGCGATCTTCTGCTTCTTTCAGAGCTTTTCATCGTTCTAAATGTTTTATAGTTCCTAGATCAATTTGTTTTCAGGGTGTGTGTTGTAGAACTAATAACTCAAATTACACTTAATGGGCACTGAATGGCCACCGAAGCTCGGGAAAGAATACCTCCCATTGCGGTTCCTGAGTGTTGTGAGGCACGTTTTGTCCATGGTCTACCACTGGCGGCTGGTTCCGATATCTCCAGTCCAAAAACGTCACATGGCAAACCCAGACAAAATTGTGGCCAAAGAACCAGGAGAGATGCACTCCTTGGCTCAACCTGCACACAACTTGCTGGGGAAAGCAGGGCTGGTGTGCAGCTGCCTTATCCCACCCCAATATCAAAGCAGTTTGCTGATTTTCCTGGCAGCCCTCCCCACCCCCAAATCTAAAGACCAGGAACTCTTGAGATCAACACACCCTGTGTTTTCCAGACAGCCCCCTTCTAGTGTAAAGGAAGCCCCCACTTCCCAAGTCTCTTCCAGGTTTGGTAAAACATGCTGGTCTCTTACAACTTTAAACCTAAACTTTCAAGTAGCATGAGTTTTAAGCATCTAGAGTCTGGACACTTGGGGATTCTAGAATCCTAAGGCCCGCAATTGCACATACTGTACTTCAGTAGTCAGACTGTGAAACTTGATTAGGAATAAGAAGTAATAGGAAAGCAGTCAGGAGGTCAAAATAAGCCAGAGGACTGTGGCTCTAAAACTGGGCTGATCCTAGCCTATCCACTACAATATAATGCTTTTAGTCTATTTACAAGTAGGCTGCCATGGTCAGCTTCCTGATGGTATGGAAGATCCTGCCCAGATCCCTGGTTGTAGAGGGAATAAAGCTGCAAGAGCCACTCAGCTTTTTAAAATCTCTCCTCTGTCCATCCGTCTGTCTCTCTGTCTCTTGTTGCATATCAGCTTATTGGCTGTCAAGCCCCACCCACCTACCCCGCCTCATGGATTTTCCTTTCTGGTGTAGTTTGCCTCACTACCAAGTAGAATGGGCCTCCTGGCATCATAGTGACTCCAAGTGAATGGTATGTCAAAGGTCAGGGAAACCTCTGCTTTAAATCAATATGGAGCACGGCCCACTGGGAAGTTCTCCTGCACATACCTCCTTGCAATGAACAGAGACTGCTCAAGAATAGTGGCCTATTCATACATGCAAATGATTATTTGAGATTTGCAGTCATCAGGGTCCTGGCTTCATATCCTTGCTGGGCGCCAGGCAAAACTGGAGTTTCATAAGAGGCAGTGTGGCAGTGTGGTAAAGAGGTTAGATTGTTGGGCTATAATTGCTAAGGCCAAGGTTCAAATCCCCACTAAAGAGGATCTGCTGAGGAAAGCAGCAGAGCAACAGAAAACCACTCGCCACATGCTTTCTAAGTGGGGGAGAAGACAAGGGAGGCCAAGAGTAGGTGGGGCTAGTAAATTTTGCTAGGGCAAAACTGAGGCTAAGGAGGAGGAAATAGACAGGCAGGGCCACCCTCTGGACTAGTTATGAGTAAAGAAGGCAGAAGGGGTCGGAGGAAGGGAAACTGAGGTTGGTGAGGCAGTGCCCCATTTGTTTTAATGGACCAGTCTCCACTGCTCTGGACAATGGCTTCGATTCATTTATGAGGCCACTCCTTATATCTTCTGCAAAAGAGCAGAGACAATTTGTTTGGGATGGATTTGCCCAGTTTCTCCTAATTGCACATAGAGCCCAAACTTTTCATATATATTGCATATGTAAAAGAATGCATTTGCATGTGTTGTGTCAGATTTGCATAATTTTAAAGGCAGATTTTCTGTTTTTCCCGGAGCACCGGTGCAGGCTCTCACAAGGAAGAGCACTAACGTAAATACCCTGAGTTGAAAGAATTGCCCTGAACTAAGGGAGAGGAATGAGAGGTTTCCTTCAAAGGGTTGCATTCAATCTTCACAGTCAAAATGTATGGCTGTATTTTAACTGTGGATTGAGTTGTAACACGAAGTCAGACTGTGGGAGTGAATTGGGGTGGGTGGGGGAACCAAGTCTGCTTTTACAGATATTTTTAGTGTAGTCTCGTGTTGCTGCCACCGGAGCTTTTTAGTTCCCAAGTGCCATGAGCCAGGATGTGTGTTTTTCAAGCACCATGAAACATTTACAAGGCAGAGATTGAATTCTGAAATGTGCCACCTGAAGCTGGCGAATACAGAGGCCCACATAGGACAGACCCACATAGTATGGATGACAGAGAGATTTGTTTAGACCACATTTTAAAGCAAACCAATCTAATTCACCACTCCTGGATTTTTCTGCAGACCAGAACTTGGTTTTCAGTTAGAGCCCACATTCTCCAAATTTTGCAATACAGTTTCAGGTTTTTGTTTTAGACCAAGAACACAAAAGTGCATATTTTATGAGGGAGAGTATGTGCAAAAACATTCATGTTTGGTGAAATGCGTTGCAAGGCAGAGGGTACATTTGCTGTAACAGTTGTCTCTAGTTAAGTGTGAAAGAAGGAGAGGGGTGGTGGGGAATGTGTGTTGAGGGGTTCATGGAGCAGAGATAAATGGCATATTTGGAAATCATCCAATTCACTAGCTTTTGCAGTTGTTCCTTTTTCTGTTGCAAATGCTTGAAAAGACTCAAAGGTGGTTGGGTGGAGGGTGGTTGGGGGTGAGCTCTTGCAAGGAAATATTGCAAAAATGGGTGGCATTTGAGGCAAACCAAGGAAAATTTGCCCATTGACCCACATTACATTGAAGAACTGGGACTGGATTGCCCCCAACATGGTGCCCTTCAGATGTTTTGGACACCAACTCCCATCAGCCCCAGCCAGCCTGGTCAGTGGTAAGGGGTGATGGGAATCGCAGTCCAAAGCATTTAGAGGGCATCTAAGCATGGCTGTGCTGGTGGGAGAAGCCTGCTATAGAGAAATGGGCAAACAGCTAAGGAAAGAAGCTTAGGTTCTGAATATATTGTCAAAATACTCTGATTGCTAGGCAAACATTCTTTGTTCATTATTAATATTGGACTGTGCACAGAAGTCTTTTAAAAATCAAGTTGTTTTGATGAAGGGCAGTGTAAGCATCTTCTACACAAAATAAAAATATGGTGCTGATGATAGGCTGAGAATGACACACACACACACACACAGAGAGAGAGAGAGAGAGAGAGAGACTGAGAGTGTACCTAAGATTCTGTTGTATGTCAGCCAGGACACACCCCAGGGCCAGACCTTTCTCAAACCATGACTGCCACCCCTACCCATTAGTTGTATCCGACATGCTTGATGGCCCACAAAACCTGGGACTCAGTTCGAAGCCCTTGCCTCCGATGTGGCAGCCTGCCTATTAATCCCTGGCTGCTCAGTGATTCCATTGTCAATGCTTGCTTTGCTCATCAGAGCCCTGGCACAGAAGCTGCCTCCAAATAGCTGGATCTGGCAGGGTGGGCAGCGACTCGTAGCATCTCTGCCAACGAGGGGCCTCTGCCAAGCCACCCTCCTCCCTGCGCCTGGTGGAGAGAGGGGAGCCTGCATTAGGGACGTTGCCAGCTGCACCTTCCTAGTAAGGGGCAGGCCAGGGCAGGTGGCAAGAGGTGGTGCAGCTGCTGTTGCTGTGATTTGCAGTGGCCCATCCATAGCTGCCCCTCTCCTTGGCAGCAGAAGGGCCATAGCTCAGTGGCAGAGCATCTGCCTCTCTTGCAGAAGGTTCCAGGTTCAGTTTTGGTAGGGCTGGGAGTGTCCCCTGGAGAGCCTCTGCCGCTCAGTGTCAAGGATGCTGAGCTAGATGGCCTAATGTCTGACTCTGTATAAGACGGCTTCCTGTGTTCTTACGCAGAATGCAGACTCTAGCAGTCTGTGGCCGCTGACCTGGCTTTTGCGGCCTGTGGTTGCCAAGCCTCATCCTCCCACAGCTCCTCTTCCTCCCCTTTTATCGATTTCTGCTTTGATTGATGGGTGAGGTGGGAAACAAGAGGGGAAATGCTAGCCCTGATTTGGGATATACAACCTGCCCGGGCAGGAAGCAAAGGATTGTGTTTGGGCCAAATGTTGGTGGAAGCTGCTATGTGCTGTGCTCCAGTCCTTTTCTACAGAGTTCCCCCAACCCAAGGTTGCCTGTGCTTGCTCCAGTGTTGCCCGCCTCGGTTTTAATTCGTTGTATTTGTAAAAGTTTCATATCATCCCAACCCTTTTACAGAAGAAATCCTGGCGGTTTACATATGCAGTACATCCAGAAGCACTGCAGTAAATCTGTAATTAATTAAAAATGCATGAGAGGCTTTGACAAATGAAAACAAAGAGGCTCAACATTGTTTATTTAGCTCCAGGAAAATGCATGGCACTTTAAAGAATATCAGCAAATGGGCCTTCAGGGTTCAAGCCTGATTTGTAACGGGCTTACCCTGCCTTGAGCTTTCCAGACATTTGCCCCCTTTCCTTTCCCACCCAAACGTACCTCCTGGCAGCAGCAGAAGGGGGCTCATGACCAGGGCCTCCATTAGATCAGCCTTCCCCAACCTGGCACCCTCAGTATGTTTGCATTCTAACTCTCACTATCCCTGACCATTTTCTAGGCTGGCTAGGGCAATGAGAATTGTAGTCTAATGGAGTTAGGAGGGCACCAACTTGGGAACTCTGGCCTAGATCATTGGTCCAACATTAGTCAGGACACACTTCATCCCAGTCTAATCTAGGATAGGTCACAATAGCAGCACTACCTCCACACAAATATATGGTTGAACGTTTAAGAAGCGGGTTACTCAAACATATGGTTGGGCTAAAAGCTGGAAAGGTTGAAAATTGCTGCCTTCAATCAGGGCTAGAGATCTGGTGGCCCTCTGGATGCTACTGGACTGCAGCTTCCACCATCCCTGGTCAATGGCCATGCTGGCTGGCGCTGATGGGAGTTGGAGTCCAACAACCTCTAAAGGACCACAGGTTCCCCATCCCTGCCCTAGATGCTTCTGCGGTGGCCATGTCACACATCCTGGGTGCTAAGAATCATGGGAAATGCAGTCCCTGTGGTTCCTGACATCTCAGTAGGGTTTCCTTTCAAGGCAATTTCCCCATTTCAGTCCTTCTGGGCTTTGGTGACTTTTTGTGGCTTTGAACTGAGGCCTGAGAGACCTTGGCTCTTGAGGCAACATCCATCCCGTCTGAGGGAGATACTGCAAGTAAAGCAGCTGCTCAGCATCTGACTTGTGAAGCTAGTAGATGATCTTGCTCCTCATCCTTTAGGATTCAAGATCTCCACTCTGAAAATAAAGTCACCATTCCTATTTCCTCACAAGCCCAGGACTGAAAAGACTGTGAAGGAACCTTAGGAATGCAAGAAGTCAGACCATTGGTCCATCTATCTTAGGATTGTCTATATCACAAATGGGGAACCTGTTTTCCTTTTGATGTTGTTGGACTCCAACTGCCATCAGCCCCAGCCAACATGGCCAGTGGTCAAGGATGATGGAATTGTAGTCCCACAGCATCAGCAGTGCCTCAGGTTCCCCATCGCTGATCAGTGCTGACTGGCATCAACTCTCCACGTTTTCAGGCAAGAATCTTCCCTAACCCTATATGGAAATGTCCTGGATTTGAACTGGGGATCTTCTGCATTCAAACCATGTGCTGTACCACTGAGGTGTGGGCCTTTTCTGTAATACATAACAAAGGTTAAGAATGTGTGGTGCCAAGTTCTTGGTTCCAGGCAGGAAAGGGACCATCTGTTCCTTGTTTATTCCATCCTCTCGATCATCTGTTTACCTCCTTCTCTAGTTCTCCTACTTCATTCCAGGCTCCATTACGTCAGTTGTTGTTTTATTGATTCTGTTGAATGTTGCTCGTTTGATCATTATTACTAGAAAAATTAGTTTTGTGATATTTTGAAGGTAGTTATCTTCTTTTATTGTTCTGGGTTATTGCTGGTCTGTGCACACATTGAAAAGGGGTGGAGAGGGGTCAGACATTAGAGTAGATCCAGTTAGTCTCTGTTCAGGCAGTCACCACCCTGCCCTGGATCCAAGAACCACGTCATATGCTTAAGCTTTGCTGAGTGTGTGGCTTCCAGCCATTCAACAGGCATCTCATATGCACTCTACCGTGCATTGCGCAATGGAGGGGTGGGTGTGTGGGTGGGTATGTGCAGCATGGGGAGCCCCATGTATGCCTATGCCCACTAGGCCCCATGGGAGCCAGCGAGGCTAAGCTGCCAGAACGCAAGTTGGAGGAAGGCAGAGCTCCCAGCAGAAGGCTGAGCTGTAGAGCAAAACTGACAAAGTGGTCAGGTCCAAGATATTACTGAGCCAGATTAAAACAACCTTGGAGCCTGAAACCAACCAGCTTGTCAGTTTTGCCTCTTCCAATCAGCAGAAGCAAGGCAGCTCTCTGGCAGCTTCAGGCGGACAATGTATATGTGGTATGACAACTCACTCTTAGCAAGTGCTTCAAGGAGAAAACTGTTGGAAGACACTTGATAAGAGACGGGAGATGAACGAGTGGGCAAGATTCTTGTGGAAAATCTACTGATAAGAATTTGCTTGCGAACAGTTTGATCCAACCCCTTTCTTTTTATTGGGATTTTCCATCCTTCTGAAACACAACGTTTCCAGGTTTGTGGGTGATGATGCATTTAGGAAGAGAGAGGGGTTACAATAAACGAGTTGGCAAATATGATCCTTGACTATTACGTAGTGGCTTTAAAAAAAGACTTCAGATTCAAATTTTAGGAAAGCAGTGACGAGCATCATGGGTGGCCACAACAGGAGCCAATCAAAAAGCCTGCAGATGCCTGCCAATCATGGGATGGGTGGGCCTATCCCACAAATAATGGCTGGCCTTAGAAGCTGGCCTTTTGGCCTTGACCTCTTATCTAAGAAAATCTCCCTTGCCTTTCCCTCCATCTCCACGCTTGGAAACTGTGTCTGTAATTATGTTGAGCGGTGAAAACCATTTGAGTGACTCTCCAGCCCAGCAGCAGAAAAAGGGCCCATCACACCCACTTGAGTTGCAGCAGGAGAGCAGGGCAGGATTGTTCTTGGAGATGTACTGGTCTTTAGGTTGTCCTGGTGGTCCAGCACACAAGCACAAATATAAGAGAAGTCCAGCATAATTATAGGGGTGATTCCCTGCCCCAAGGCTGGGGCCCATTGGACCACTCCTCATTGTGAGTTGATTAGGGGAGTACTGATGGGTGCGAAAGCTCCCTCTCCCTATTTCCTTCTGTGTGTACAGAGTCCTAAGGTAGATCTCAGCCTCCAGCCCTCAGTTCTTCCGACAGTATTTCTCTCAACAGTGAATTTCAAAAGCAAAATATGAAACTTGTTGCAAATAAAAATGCCAGTTTTGGAAGTGTTTCCAGATGCTGAAGTTACAATACAAAACACATCCCCCCATATAAATTTTAGCTCTAATGTGCTGCAAGAGCATGCCAGTTCCACAGTTCTATATACTACTACCTGTATATGCTCTTATAACATAGGAACAGGGATAGGTGCCCCCAGTGGCGTAGCATGGGGGGTGCAGGGGTGCCGGCCGCACCGGGCGCAACATCTGGGGTTTAGGGTTAGGGGGCACAAATCCACGGGTTAGGGGGCGCAAATTACTTGCCTTGCCCCGGGTGCTGACAACCCACGCTACGCCACTGGGTGCCCCTGTGCTGTCTCCTCTGTGGATGGTCAACCTGTGGCCCTCCCAGATACTGTTCAACTCACATCAGCCCCAGCCAGCATCACCAGGAGCCAGGAATGGGGTAGACGTAGTCTAAAACCTGAAGTGCCACAGGCTTCCCATCTCTGGTCTATTTTGACTGGCATAGCTAACCATGGTATTAGCCACAGGTCTTGCACATCACCTGCAACCTAACCTTTTCCCCTGGAGATGTCCATAGATTTGAACCCGGGACCTTCTGCATGCAAATGCACATGCAGTCCACTGAGTTCCAGCCTCTTCCTAACATGCCTGCATTCTAGTATTCTGTAGAAATATGGGATATTCTTTTTAAGTTTTTTATTTCATTTGCAGTTTCCCCCGCCTCAAGCAAATTTACAAACTCTCCAGGGCCCAGCAATCGGCTCCCCATATCCCAGGCTGCACAATTCAGCAGCCACAGCTGCCCTCACTGGGAGATCAAGATCGATTGATATTATATATCTTGTTTATAGCAAGCAAGCAAGGGAACAAATATAATAATAAAGCTAAAGGGAAGATAAATTTTCAAAATGAAGAGTGAAAGCAATTCCCTGTATGCTTATAGCTCCTCTTCATGTTCCAAAGGAGTAATGTGTCACAGGCATCCTGGGACTGTACAGCTTCAGAGTGCAGCTAATGGTGGAGGATTCAAAAACTCGCTGCCTCAGGCATTCTTTTCCATCCCAGTCTTCTCCCTGACGGTGCTAGTTTTCTGTGTGCAGGGAACTGTGCCACAGGAAAGCTTACAACTGCTGGATCTCCAAATTGTGCTTGCAACTGGTTTGGACTTGAGAGAGCAGCGCTGTGCAGATTTCCATCAACTATCCCCACAAAGTGCAACCTGACTTTTCAGGAAATGTCCATTATGTCCATCTTCTATGCTGTGCCTCCACAGTCAGAGTCAGCAATGCCAGTTTATGGACGCCACAAGAGGGGAGAGTGTTCTTTCACTCAAATCCTTCTGGTTTCCCCAACAGGCTTCTGGTTGGCCACTGTGAGAACAGAATGATGGACTATAAGGACCATTCGCATGATCCAGCAGGCTCTTATATTCT